CATTTCCTAGCAGCGATCCACCCGTTTGCATGGGTTCTGGCTCGGCTACCGGTGACAGCGACTGGCGCTCTTTCCGCGTGCCGTGGGAATGCAGTGGGATTTGGTTTTCGTGATCTAAACCGCATCAGGAACGTGCGCGCGGTCGTCGGCCCTCCGCAAACATCCGCGCAGTCTCATCTCCACCGCCGCCAGCCCTGTATTACGCACTCCACGCGCCGCAGCAGGAGACGGCACCGCCCGCGCGTCTGTGCGACACAAGTCAGCCGGACGCCGGCCATGCGGCTGCTCTCCCCACATCCGGGCGCGTCCGACCGCGCCCCGCCCGACTCGCGGCGCGGCGCCACGCGCGCTCACGTGGTCACAACCTCCACGACGGCGGCGGCGCGGAACGGCTCGTCGTTCTCGGGGCAGACGCGGGCGTGGTTCGGCAGCGACTGTCTGCTGGAGAGCCGCTTGCCGCACAGCTGGCAGCGGAACGGCTTGTTGGCCGGTGTGCGAGGCCTGGTTGGCGGCGCAGCCTGACGTGCTGAGAGCACGAGGCCGCCGCTCGCAGGTGAACCGGCGCCTGCCGCCGCGTGCCCAGCCCGGGTCTTGTGGCGCGCCTTCCTCAGCTGCCGGGAGCGGGCCGTTGCGGGTCAAGTGGGGTTGATGTGGGGTCAGGTACAGGCGAGGCCTCCCTGACGATGGGTTATCTTGATATAGAGACGACCATCAGAGTGGTCAAGCTGTTCTACTACGGCGCTACATGTGCACGGTCCAGATGTCACAAGATGATTACATGACACTTTGCGGTGGCGTTTAATCGGCCATAGAAAAACAACTGAGTTATATCATGAAACTACAGGTCCCGGGTAACAAGGACTCTGGGTTGGTTTAGCCGACTGGCGGACTTCTTCAGAATCATGGCCAAGACGTTCTTACCACGTGTTTCGTAAACCCGAAGACCCTCTGTATTTGTTGCTGTTCCTCAGCTGCGTTTGAACCGCTACCAAAAAGAGATTTCGAGCCATGCCGCGGGCGACCGCAATGAATCGCAACATCAACATTCATTTTCTCACGCTGGCCAAGCGCGTGCGCGCCCCAGGAACACGGACAAAACCAATAACGCAGGGCAAAAGAGCGGCGCAGGATGCTGAAATATCCCAGTCAGTAACGGCATTCACCCAGCAGAGGCCACCACAAAGCCCTCACCCACCAGGCTGGTGAACTCTGCATTACAGATGTTGCAGCGGTGACGGCGGCCTCCGTGCGAATCCAGGTGGTTGAAGTAGCGGCTGCTCGAGTAGGCGCGGTAGCCGCACGTGGCGCACACGTGCAGCGGCAGCTGCAGGTGCACGCCGCAGATGGTCGGTGGCCGTGCGGAACGTGCGCGTGTGGAACGTGCACAGGGCCGCAGCGCAGAAAGCGGCGCTCGTGGGTCTCGAGGTGCGCCTGCATAGTGTCGGCGTCCCTGCTCCTGCGTCATCGGGGGGCCAGCGTCAGTAGCTGGACATAACTCGCGTCACGCGCCGAGCGGTTTCTCCGGTGCCCAGTCACTGCTGTCTTGCGCCACACGTCGTGCCCTGTACCCCCTGTTGCGCCAGAGTGGCGCAGACTCCAGTAGCTGCACATAACACCGCAGCGGACTAACCTTTCAAGCCAGCGCCGGCCGGACGCGCCCGGGCGCCGGCTTCTGCCATTGATGCCGGGGTCACCGCCCGTAACCAGCGTAAACAGTAGATGAACATAGCATTCGACGAGATTCTCCAGATATTTCTATCCCCACGAAACATGCCGACAACTCACGTACACTGCACGCGTGAGAGCGATGACATGCCTGAGATGGGCGCCATACGATCAATCAGCTGGCGCGCCTAAAAGCCCCAATCATCGCGGCGTGGCTGGAGAACTCCGCGTAGTACCCAGCGGTCAGCGATCATTTTCGAGTACAAGTGGCAACAAACTCTCAGACTCTTCACCTTGCCTATAGGTTGGGAAAGCTAAGACGCCAAACCCGTGCCAAAGTCGTAAAGCCGAACTGCGACCCAGGGACATATTCAAATAGCGCCAAAAGTGTCCACCACTAAAGACGAAGTTTTATTAATACGGCTGGAACGTAATTCGTGCGTCCGTTCTACATATTATTTAAGAACCGAGACCTGAAAAGTAACGAACCGACAGTGTGCCCAAATTTAAAAATTTGTGAGGGAAATGAGCGCTTTGGGGACGATTTCTGTCTCTCAGTGTAAGACTCTTCGAAGTATCCGCCCTTTTCATAAAAAGGTAGAATTGAAAAGACGATAATATTAGCCTTATTCATCGGAGCAAAATCAGGAGGACGGAGATACAGTTGGATTGATATTTCGGCAACATGCCTTTATCGAAATGATAGCAGGAAATTTTTGCCAAACATATATCTCCATTCTCCTGGTTTTTCTTCGAAGAATAAGGCTAATACTACCGTTCTATTTATGTGGATAATGCTCCTCGCTAATGCACTGAACAACTTACGTAAAAGGTAAAATTATTCGTTTGTTTTGACTCCTTCAGCTTTTGGCGAACGACATTTCTATTTCGATAAAACTTTTGCTGAATGGATTGCGACACACGATCCCTACCCGGTGGACCGGCACGATGTACGTGCGCTTAAACAGCGCGATGATCTGCGGACTAAAAGTATCGGTTTATGGCAATGGCGCAAGTTCAGAGAGCCGGACACACCCTGCATGACATGGACATGGTCCAGGCCTGACAAAAGTCGCAACATGTCGCAACCGTCGCCAATCCAAAGCCGCGGCTCGAAAGTTGACATCGTGCACCGCCGCCACGTTACCTGACCGTTCCAATAGCGCTCGTGTCGGCTTTGTGGGACGGGAGTAACATTCACCCGACCACCCAGCGAACGGAGGGCGAGTGAAAGACTGACTTAACCATCGGTGCCCTTGTCGCCCCCCCCCCCCCTAACACCGCCAGCGTCCACCCACCTGAAGTTGGGACACCAGTTGCAAGCGAACTTGTACTCAGTGTAGTGCACGCGCAGATGGCGAATGTAGTTCTGCGTGCCTCTCACGCAGGCGCCACACGTGCCGCACGTGCGCTGCTGCGGCACGTGGCGCGCGTGCGTCTCGGCCACGTGTCGATCCCTGTCCTCCTCCCTGCCGAACTCCGCCAGGCACACGTCGCACACGTGCGCCGCGTGTTCGGAGGCCATCTGGCAGGCCACGTGGCACGCGTCCCAGTGCTGGAGAAAGGCATCGCGCCGGCCGGCCGTCAGCGAGCCGGCGCCGAAGCACAGCGTGCAGTGCGCCAGCTCGTACAGCTGCTTGCTGGTGACGAACTGGGTCGGGTAGCGCTCCCGCGTCTGCGGGTGCCTGCGGCAGGGGACGGCGCGCTCAGGCGACGGCGCGGCGCGCCGCGCAGGGGGCATGAGTAACAGCCGGCCGACAGTACACGGCTGGGGGGTGGGCGGTGCTCGTGGCACGCGGGAGGGCGTCCGTGGTCTCTCCCTCCTCCACACACACGCATAGCATCTAAAACACAGCGGCCCGCCACGCGGAAGTCCTGAGTTCGCAGGATACGCCACGCAGAACTTTCCTCCATCCAGCAGCGTATGCCAGCACTCCCACATCTCGCGACAGGACAGAGCGTTGGACCGGCGCCGGCGGCGCGTTCTGCGGCCGCCGTCCGACCCTGTCCGTCCGCTCACCGAAGCCAGAGGTGTGCCATGAGGTCGGCGCGCGAGCTGAAGCCGAGTCGCGGGCAGAGGCCGCAGCCCAGCTGCGCCAGCGGGGCCGCCTCCGCGTGGTGTTCCAGCACCGGCGCCGTGCCGTCCCAGGGCAGCACCGTCGGCGCCGTACGCTCGCCGTCCGCGCTGCCGGGGCGGCGGGTCAGAGAGCGGGTCAGAGGAGGCGGCACTGGCGGCGCGGCGCAGAGGTCGGGCTTCGTGGCAGGATGACGAGCTGGGCTTCTGGTACCTGCGGTTATCGTCCGATCTCGTGATGACGCTCTAGGCTGAAGGCGGCAGCGGCTGCAGATAATGCTAGATAGTGGCGGTGTGGCTTTTAGTATGCGGTGCGCACTTCTCCGCAGGTAGTCAAAATATATCACATCGCGACATTTTCCTTAAACAAAAAGGCTTCCGCCACTTGGCGCACTGGCAGGGAGACCCTCCCCGCCCGCTGTGCTGACACTAACACCCACGCCATTCACAGGTCTGACTGCTCACCGCCGCCCTCCCAGTGCCGACGCAGACCGGGCCCAGGGACCAGCGAGGTGTAGGCGGGGCCCAGCGTAGCGTGAGGTGTGGGACAGGACACAGCGTGAGGTGTGGGGCAGGACACTGCGCCAGGTGTGGGACAGAACACAGCGTGAGGTGTGGGACAGAACACAGCGTGAGGTGTGGGACAGAACACAGCGTGAGGTGTGGGACAGAACACAGCGTGAGGTGTGGGACAGAACACAGCGTGAGGTGTGGGACAGAACACAGCGTGAGGTGTGGGACAGGGCACAGCGTGAGGTGTGGGACAGGACACAGCGTGAGGTGTGGGGCGGGACGCGGCGTGAGGTGTGGGACAGGACACCCCGTGAGGTGTGGGACAGGACACCGCGTCAGGTGTGGGACAGGACACAGCGTGAGGTGTGGGGCAGGATACAGCGTGAGGTGTGGGACAGGACGCAGCGTGAGGTGTGGGACAGGATACAGCGTGAGGTGTGGGACAGGATACAGCGTGAGGTGTGGAGCAGGACGCGGCGTGAGGTGTGGGACAGGACACCGAGTGAGGTGTGGGACAGGACGCCGAGTGAGGTGTGGGGCAGGACACCGTGTCAGGTGTGGGACAGGACACATCGTGAGGTGTGAGACAGGACACAGCGTGAGGCGTGGGGCGGGACGCGGCGTCAGGTGTGGGACAGGACACCATGCCAGGGTGTGAGACAGGACACAGCGTGAGGTGTGGGGCGGGACGCGGCGTGAGGTGTAGGGCAGGACGCGGCGTGAGGCGCGGGGCGGGACACGGCTCGACTCACCGGACCAGAAGGCGGACGTCGTCGAGCGGCATGGGCCGGCCGCGGAACACGGCCTCGCGCCACAGCATACCGTCCAGGGCGGCGTGTGCCACCGCGTCCTGAGGACGCCGCCCGACAGCGGGTCAGCAGGCGAGAACAATACGTCCACGGGGGAGAGCGGTGATAGCCAGACAGACGTGGCCGAGACATGATTCAAGCAAGACCTTCATCCCTGGTTTTTCGGCATCATGGGTTCGGACCTTATGTTGAGTTATCTGCCTTTGATATACCAGGAGGTACGGGTTAAGCAACGTTATACAGCAAACCTTGCTTACAAGACAGCACTATCGAGTACAGCCAATATACAACCAAATATAATATAACCAAAGTTCGCTCTAAAACGTCGTCGAACCAATACCTACTAGTATGTATTAAAAATGTACCATGAGTACTGCTTAGACGACATCATACAGCAAATCCTGGTCAAAAGGCAGAACTATCAAATACATTCAATATCATCTAAGTTCGTTCTACAACGTTTAACCAGCACCTGCTGGTACACTGAAGGCCCATCTCTCAGCACAAGACTGCCTCTGGCTTCTCAGGGCCCGTGCGCCACAGCACACAGGACTTGCGGTGACACCGGCCACGAACACGGTGTCTGACCGACGCAATCAACGCGGGTCATGCAGCACGCAGAACAGCGCGGGTATAGCACAGCTGGTCACGGCATCATCGGTACAGGCATATGGAAACCCGCGCACCTGACAGCGTGTCCACTGACACTGACACAGCGCAGCGTGTCGCAGGGGACATTAAGGGCACTAGCGGCGCATGGTCCCGTGAAAACTACACACGCGTGATATGGTCCTTCAACGCCGCCGTATCGGTCGCAGCTCAGTGCCGCTCACACCAGCAAAACGCCCGCCCACGGCCTCCACACCCATCCTTCACGAACATTGGCTCCACCTGCCCGAGCTGCAAGACCAGAACTGAGCGCACAAGGCAGAAACGAAGGGCGGCGTGCAAACAGACGACATTTACGCGCATCTGCATTATTGACTGGCGTCTGTCATGTGTCTCGCATGAACCGCGATCGCCACGCGACGCGTGCCGTGCCGCGACCAGCGCGGCCGGGGACGGCGTCCGTACCTGGGCCTTGAGCACTCCCCCGGAGCCGGGGCGCGGCGCCCGGCCTCCGCTGGCGCGGCTTCCGTCTGCTGGAAGGCACGGCACAGCGACGCGTCAGAGGTCACGTGACACGGCTCGGGCTGCGCCGCGGGGACGCGGCGAAGATCGCAGAAACACGCGCTGTGGCGTGGCGTGGCGGAAGGATCCAACAGAGGCGCCACCACATGACGGGGGAGGTGTGAGGGCAAACGGTAGCGGCATACAAACCGATCACTCGAGAACACATCCGTCAGGACAATGAGACGTCGAAAATCCTTCCTGCCGGAGGGCCGATGTCAAGACCCAAACACAGAGGTCACACGGGCGACCCCGATTCACCCAGGGAGAGGGGGCGATCCAGGCCACCTCGTGCCGTCGCAGTGGCGGCGGGTGCCGACCGAGTGACCGCCTGATGCGCGAACTCACTCGTACTGCAGAGGAGCCATGTAGTCGTCGTCTCCGGGCCGCCACACGTCGAGCCTGGGGCGGGGGCGTGGCTCTCAACGGATCAGGCGAGACAGCGCGCCTCGTTCTGCTTGGCTCTCAGTTCCTTGATTCCCTTTTGCCAACGTTCTCACGTTGTTGCCATTTTGTTGTTTCGATTTAAGGGTGGGCTCACAGGCTGGCAAACCATGTCCTAAATTTAAGCACGGGCTGTGGGCGCGCCAGAACGGCACTGTCCTTCCGCCCTGGATGCGCGCAGTATTTGAAAACAGGACCGCACGTTTTGTAAGATCTCTTTGGGGCCGATCCTTGTCGCGTGCAATCAACCCCGGTGACCCTGGCACCACCAGCAGGTTCAAAACACCACCAGCATGCAAATTCCAGCTCAAAAGATATGATTTGCCGAAAAAGTTTAATGACGCATGCGCTCCGGCACCCCGCCCCAGTCAGATGCCAATTCGGCACCAAGTTGACATTGCCGGCTAACTCTCGAAGACGGGCATATAAGTGCAGTTGCTGGAACACAAGCCACAATATGTATGCTACCAAATGATACGAATGCCTGACGCTCTAGCAATTGAAACACAGGCAGAAAGACGACAAAAGCAATACTAACCCGTCTTCGTTTTTGATCTGGAGTTTTCGGGCCGCCACTCTCATCTGGGCGTCCCCTGAAAACGTGCCACGGGGCACGTGCACACGCAGTTAAAAACACCCCACGGCAACTGTCTGAAAGCCACGCGAGCACGTTGATAAAATATTAAATCTACCCTAACGTAGCAACTGAAATCAATCGTGGAATACGTTAACGGTGGCAGACGATTAATTTTTGATCAGCTGAAAGAAATTGGTCAGGACCTTCATGAGCGGCCCGCAAAATCAAAGCATGCAATCCACTCTTTACGCTTGTGAAGACTTTCACGCAGCTGAAACATAGTGAATTATTCATTGGGAAGGAGCCATGATAGAACATCCAACAATTCAAAACAGACAGCCCACAGCTTAAAGCACAGAGCCCCTCTCCCCTTAAAACAAGGAAGTCGTTCCTGGCCAGCCAATTAATTCACGCGCATGCCAGCCCTTTGTTCGGCACATCCGTTCCACCAGACCGATCCGACTATGCGTCCTGTCCGCTCCATCCGTTCTGGGCGTCCATTCCGGCCGCTTCGGCCGTTCCGTACCGCCTCTGTGCATCTGATCCGCCCGGTGGATCACGATGAAGGAGCTGGCGCCGACTGGCTCCGGCTCCGGCTCCGGCTCCCGCGCCGGTTCCACATCAGGCTGGACTGATGGTGATTCGCTCAGGTCGATGCCCCTGTCAAGAGCAAGGTCAAGACTCATGAGAAACATTGGGGTCCAGGCTGCCTTGGTGCAGAGAGGGAAGAGGTCAGGAACATGGGGTCGGGTATAAAGCTAAGCATGGGAGGAACATATGGCATGCACAGGGTCAAGTCCATACCCTGCACAGGGATAGGATGCAGAAAACAATCAGCCATGTCAATCCCATGTGAAGGGGGAGACGCAAGGAACACAGGGTAAGGCATATCACCCTGAGGCAAGGGTGCTTAAATAAGCACCAGGCCATGCCCTGTGAAGAGGATACAGATAAAAATCACAGGTAGTTGATTCTACTGGAAAGGCAGGGATGTCCAGAGTGAGCCACAGTGTAGGGATGCAGGGAAGTCAGAGCTTGGTATATATTAAATATTGGGCAAATGTTGGGAAGTGTTAGAAAATGTGCTAGCTTGATCAGTTTGACACAGCAGGTGACAAACACAGTGAGATAATACTGGAGAAATACCCTTATTCCTTAAAGAAGAACCAGGATGGAGGTAGAGAAGGCAGAAGTGATGACAGGAGATATAGGTGAATTCATATTTTGAAAACATGCCTTTATGAATGACAGAACTGAACAAAACTAATCTAATCTCTGGGTTTTTATCCAAGGAATTAGACTAATGCTACTGCATATGCAATGAACATTATCTATGTGAATAATATTCCTAGTTTACACAATTAACAGCAAACATGGTCAGGCTTAAATTCACTGCACACAACTCTATGTGACACTTATCAATATCTAATCCACCACAGTACACACTGCTCTGCCAACAAATAGTCCATACTTACTGAGCATCAACAAAGAATGACATCAGCCTAATGAGCATGTCACTGTCCCCTGCAATTCCAACTGCTTCCTTCAGTTGATGCCATGTTTTGACATTCTTTCCAAGGAGAATATCCAAAGGCAACATGTTTTTTCTCAGCATGGCACTCTCGTTTGTATCATTATTTGTCTCAATGGTAGCATTTTTCATTCCTGACATGATAACTCATTTATTCCATTGGCAAGATTCGAGCAGCTGCGAGCTGGGCTGACCAAATTAATAAAACTTCACCTAGCTTACACAATTACAGTCTGCTGCACCCAAGTGAGCTGAACTGAGAGAAAAGGACGCCTAAGCGGCACCGTCAGTATATTTCTAGTCTATGATCAACTGACAATAACATTTCGTTTTAAAGCCATTCTAAGTGGGTAATATCAAGAATTCATCGAGTTGAACTTTGTTTCACAAGGTCATGCAAAATAAGGTATTGATGTCAATTGATGACGTTTAAAGATTTTATTCCTAAATTTAAAAAAAAAATTCAAATGTGCTATAAAATTTCAAAAATTTTATTAACAAAAACATTTTTAAAATTTTTAAGTAAGCTATTTGAACTATATAATCTTCAGTTTTAAGGTCATTGTAGTATATGACGTCAGAACATTGCCATAGTTCTCTGTATTTTTCAGGCAATTCTGGCGCAGTAGTTGCAAAGTTCGTGAGCGCTCTTAGAATTGGGAAAATTGCGAATTGTTAAGAAGAGTACTGCGAGTTATTCGCGCGGGAGCAGGCGCTGTGTGAGGTCGTTGAACACTTCTGTTGCGTAACTCCTTGCTTTTAATATGATACTGCTGGGTTCGAAAGCCTCACAGCTGGTCCAGTGCGCTTTGCGACTGTCCCGTCCAAGCATGCTTGGTTCAGCAGTGAGCAAATTCCACGGGTCAAGCTGCAGGCAAGATATCTTCAACATTCAGGACAAGGATGACTTCGAAGAGCGTGTACTCAAGAGCGGCAAGCCAGTTCTAATTGATTTCCATGCAAAGTAAGATCTTAGCTGGAATCCGTTAGTGTTTGTGTCATGTTTGGTGCAGCAGCATGCAAGATAAGATGTACAAAACTTGTCATTTTTCCCACCTACATCTGTGGTTTGTGTTTATTGTAGTGAGCTAGGTTTTCCTTTTTAGGCTGCATGCTTGGTGCTCAATATGTCTCACATTATCAGCAAGTGCTGCAGTGAAATCCTTACCAGTTTAGGAGGATGGCCATACCATTATAGCATATACCAGGTTGTGCTACAACTTAGGCCATTGGGACATAAGATTTTTGAACAGGAGTCTGGTGAAATGAGCTGATAAAATTATTCACCATTTTGACATTGGCCCCTGATCTATGACTATTCTAATTTTGAATGCATCTCATGTTAATAAAGATGGGTTTTATTCATGGTCTCTGACACCACAAGCTGCTTGTGGTGGTCAGTGTCACATTTTTCTGTTGTTGTTCAGGCTTAAAGAACAGAAGTATTTTCTGAGGAAAAATGCATTTAAAACTTGCAGCCTAACACAAACTGCATGCAATTTCTTAAGAATGCATAAATTGTTTGTTAGCCTGGATGTCTTTTTTGGGCCAATGATAATTGTTATGCCATTGCAGGAGTATGAAAAAATGAGACAGCCCCTAACTGTCTCAAAATTTGATATTGCCCTTTTGGACACTGACTGGAAATAAGTGACTGAAGCAGACTTCCACTGTCCTTGTGTCATTAGATGTGCCTTATAAAAATTGATGGCATCAAAGGAATGATGGCTGGGTGTTCCATTTGGAAAATTGACATCAAATAAATAGGTATATTGTGATGCTTGATGCTATTGTGTTCTTTAGTGATCTTGAGATGATGTTCACAAATAACTGAAACCACTTGTTTGGCAGTTGCACTCTCATTTGATCACTTCTTCAAAGCTATGCCATCCTGTATTTTTATTCTCTCAGGGTCAATAGACATCATACAAGCTAATGATATTAACCATGCAAGCAAATCATGGCTGTCTGGAGTGTGGAATGATATATGTAGGCTAGGTTTCTGCACTCCAGGTTTCTAAGACCACATCTCTATTCAATAAGTTCAACTTGTTGTAGGGTAAACCTAGGAGCATCTTTGGATGTTTTGTCTGTTTGAGTGTTTCATTCTCTGACACTAAATGCATGTCTCTCCAAAGGTGGTGTAATCCTTGCAAGCAGCTGACCCCGAGGCTGGAGGAGGCCCTGCAGCAGTTCAAAGATGATGTTCACCTGGCAAAGGTGGACATTGATGACAATGATGATCTGGCAATGGATTATCAGGTGGGAATGATGACCTGGCAATGGATTATCAGGTGGGAATGATGACCTGGAAATGGGTTATCAGGTGGGAATGATGACCTGACAAAGGATTATCAGATTGGAATGATGACCTGGCAATGGATTATCAGGTCAGAAAAATGGTCTTGCTCATTTGCTCAGTTCTTGATCAGAACATCTTGGGCTTTTACTTGCCCTACACTCCTGCAGTCTCCAATGGTCCACTTCTACTAACACCAGCCTGGTAGTTGCTTGGCCAAGCAAGAAAGAGTTGCTTGGTGGCTGGTGAGCTGACACTGCTTCCCACTGCCTTGCTGATGTGTGAAATGCAATACAGTGGACATCACACAAGCACACATGTTGCATGCACACATGCACACACCCTTATTCATGCCATCTTGTATGAAAAGTGAGCATGATGTGCACCACCTGCCTGCCCACATGACATGCATGCACACATGCATGCATTCATGTAGGCAGGCAGGCAGTGGTGAGGTTATGTGGTACATTGGTCATGTATCATTTGTATTATAATGTTTTAAAGATGGAAAGCACAAAAGGACATTAGTGCATGTTGTCTTGAAGGAGGGATAACATATGATGGAAGTATTGGTACTTACCATTGCATGTTACTTGGCCCTTACATTTACACTATGGCACTTCCAACACAAAAGGCTGCAAAGCATTGGTCGACCTGCCCTCCATGTTGCCAGATGCCATACTGTCATACATCATGTCATTTCACGTCATACCTGGTGTTGCCAGGTGAGCGCCGTGCCTGTGGTATTCGCCATCAAGGGTGGCAAGGTGGCCGACAAGTTCATCGGCCTTCAGGACTCCGACCGGATCACCTCCTTCATCCGCGGGCTGGTCGACAAGTAACTGGCGTCGCCCGCCTGACGTCATACGTGACGTCACCGTGACGTCACCGCGGCGGCGTGTGAGATGCGGGTACCCGGGTGGCATTGGTAGGACGGCTGGCTGAGGGACGCCGACGCTGCCGTTCTCGGCGATCTGGATGCCGATGCCTGACTGAGTGAGACGATGTACTCTGCGGGGAGCGTGTGTTGCCGGCGTCCCTCGTCACGTCGCGAAGCGAGGGCGCGTGTAGGCTGCGGGTGATTGGTAGAAGTGACGGAATGACGGAGTGACGCGTCACGGACGGCGGCGGGGCGTGTCACGTGGTGCGCACGGCGGCGTCACGTCGGCGGGGGGACTTTACACAGTTGACGTGGTAGTCCCCGGTTGACCACGCGATGCGGTGGCCTGGCCGGCCCGCGCATGCGCTGGTGGACGGCGTGCTGTCGTCGAGCCGCCGCCGCCGTCTGGCGAACGTCTCCCACTCAGGACCACGGACGAGCTTGGCGCGGCCGCGGCTCTGGCTTTGGTCGTGCTCCGGCGCGGGCCGCCCCGCGGCTTTGGCTGCCTGCTGGTGCGCTGCGAGTGTCGGGGCTGGACGGAGCGGCGGGCGGGTCTCGCTCGCGCACTCTCTGGGCCTCCCGGGCCGTGTCGCCGCGGCGGGACGTGCGGTGCGCCGCGGTGCCGCCTGTTCTGGCCCCCGATGCTTCGACGGCCGATCGCAGGCTAGAGCAGAGCCGAGCGGTGGTGGATACCTGCATGTTGATGTGGCCGGCTGTTGCGTATGTGTTAACGTGCGAGGATGCTGTGTCCGGTGTGGTGATCGTCCTTTTGGGGATAATATGACCGGCGAGGACACTCCGGCCTGGTGCTCGTGTTATCAACTGCCGGCAGGTGCCGAGTGAGGTGGCACTGGGCGGTCGTCTGAGCTGTACTGAAGTGGGGTGGAGTGAATGATGTGGCGGAGGTGTCGTGCGGCCAAATCAAAATGGCCGCATGGGCGCCTCCACGGCTTAGATAATGGCGGGCGATGTATGCAGGCATGGTGTGCTATAGAAACGCTGTCTGAAGCTCCCGAAACTTGAATACTTTCCCATTGCATCGTCCGGATCAGTGGTGCTCAACTCATTCGATACGATGGATACAAATATTCAAGCTTGATCCGACAGGCCGCAAGGAATCGATTGGTGTCCGTCAGTTGATCCGACTTCCATCGGGACTATGCTGCCATCTGTAGCGAAGTTCATACGATACTAGCGCCACCATGATCGGTTTTCGGCACGGACGAGGCTGTGCAGTGCGAGATCGCCCACTGACATCCATGACTAAAAACCTGACTTTCCCCATCTTTCCGCTCCGAGACCTGTTGGAACCATTGCGAAATTTTCGTAAGTTTTAATTTGTGGACTTCCGTCCCAGGGCCGGTAGCCCGCTTGATACAATGGCGTATCGCATTCTGACCCGCGAAAAAACTTCGATTTCTATGTAGGTTGATGAGATTGGCGGGCAGCACCAACTAGAGATCAATGTGTTCGTTTTCCCACAAGAGCGCTAGCATTTCGCGACGGTGCCCGGTCAGCGCTATTTTCTGCACAGGTTTGGCAATCCAAGGATTACCGCTAAGTTTCACGCCGACCTGAAATGGGTACCATTCGCAATGGAGCTTAATTCTTCGAATCGGCCATGCTGGATGACGGCTCACCATGCACATACATGCCATCACATGCACATACTTTCGTCGGGATTCTTCACTCACGCACTCCTCGACGCCAACTGCAAAACAGGCAGCACGCTTCATTTTTTATTACGTATGACTCATGTATGACAGATGACTTTCTGTCTTTATTTGAATGACAAAGTGATCCGCCACTTTCTGCGCCGCTAGATGAGATCCGCACCTACATCGGCAAACGCCGCGCCAGAGCTCCTGACGGACGTGCCACGCTATACCAAACCATGATCAACACAAGCCGGATGATATATACACTGATCTTTGACTTTGTACACTTCTCACGCACCCGCGCGCGCTTACGCCTTCTTCGCTGCCTTCTTGGGGCTCTTCTTCTTCGCCGGAGCCTTCTTGGCGGCGGGCTTCTTCGGGGTTTTCTTGACCTTCTTGGGAGACTTCGCCTTCTTGGCGGCGGCCGGTGCAGCCTTCTTCTTCGGCGTCTTCGCCTTCTTGACCTTCTTCACGGCCGCCTTCTTGGCCGGCGACTTGACCTTCTTGGGCTTGGGCGCGGCGGCTGCGGCTCCGGCCTTCTCCTTGGAAGCCAGGCGGTACCGGCCGGAAAGCAGACGGGCCTCGGCTTGACCCTTGGGCCGGGTTAGCTTGCCGGAGGCGAGACCGGCCTCGAAGGCGCGCCGCAGCATGTGCCGCAACATCACCGGCTGCACCTTGTACTGCGCCAGAATGTACTTCTTGATTGCCATCACTGAGACGCCCTTGGGATCCTTCTCGGCAGAGATCGCCTTGGCGATCATCTCCAACGTAGGCGGGTGTGACGGCTTGCTGGCCTTCTTCTTCGCACCTCCCTCCTTGGGCTTGCGTCCCTTCTTCGCGGGTGTCACCACGGGAGCAGCGGCGTCGTCAGCCATCGTTGCGAACGGAACGCGCGGTCACCCCTCCGCTGCCGCCAAACTACGTTTACGCCGCCGAGCGAGCGTTCGCCTTTATATAAACTCTCCGACGACCGTACCGTACGCCATTCGATCGCGGCGGCTTGGCCCCGACCAGCTGAGCGGGCCGCCGTGCGATTGTGTTTGTGTTTGCGGAAAAATGCAAATTTAGGGGTGTTAGGGCACGGATGCAAGTTTTTGATGTCCTAGATTTATTGCCAGGATATTCAGGTGTGTTGCAATGAAATTTACACCCCACCGAGCGTGTAATTTGATAGTATTACCACATAAACACGACAGGTTACCCACTGGAAAATCGTAGCCTTTAAAAACCGGCTCAAAATTAACATTTCGGAGCATGTTATTACAAATTACACGACACCATATGACAGGACAAATATCCAGCTACAAGATGATCAATTATCGAAATATTTCACCACCTAAGTCTTCGCGTACACGCGTTTACATTAGCCGCCTCACAAGCACACTCTGCCTGATTTTGAGGGTGTTCAGTTGGAGTCTATCCAAAGTGGTAAGTGCGAATATTTCCGATACCGCGCAAGACTGCCGCTTACTTTGTGCACCATTCGAAAGATCTCGATGACACCTATCGATTGATATGTTTTGATGTCTGGTTTGATGATAAACCTTTGGCGAAACGTCCCAAATAGTCGTCGATGCTTGTGATGCTGGGAGTGGGGACGGACCGCTGGCGCGGTGACGTAGGCTCGGTCTCAATCCTGAAATTTACGCATCGATATCAGACGAAATCGGTGACTATGTGAATATTGAGTGGAGCCATTCGATTCAGCTCATTCAGGGCTCCATTTTGAGCATAAGCTCATGTCGAATGATCATCGCGTGAGCTTTTGCGAGGGAGCTTTCCCCGCCATTGGAAATACACGCAGCCGACGGTCGGGCATCCGGCGCTATTTGCAGAAGCAAGTCGCAATATAGAATCGGGCAGTGCGGAACTTTGAATGCGTCATTTGCCGAAGGAGTTCTGGTCCTTTGAAAGCTCTAATAATAAAAGAGCTGTTTCCTTTGGCGAGCACTATCGTCATGGTGTCTGATGGAGCTGTACAGTGGGGTGTGGCGACGGACTGGCCCCCGCCTGGCTGCGTGTCCGCCATTCGGGGATCAAAACGGGCGGCGATACCGAGCCACGGGAGCTGCGACAGCAGACCAGGTACGACCGAGCTATTCCCGGGCTGGGGTGGTGATCAGATGAGGTAGATATATCACCATAATCTAGCCCCCACTTGGCTTCCCCTTGGATGCACGGACTCTAAGGCAGCGCGGCGTTTTCGGCGCCATGTTGCGGCGGGCACAGCCCGTTTACCGCGGGGCGCGCGCGGGGGGGGACTGACAGGTGCCCGGTCCCCCTCCTGTGCCATTTTGAATCTGTCGAGGAAAGACGCGACAAGGGGGACTGAGCCGCGACCGCACCGCGACCACGTGGCACGTGCAGGTCATGCCATGTGGTTCTATTCAGGAGTCCGCCCGTACAGGAGAAAGTCACACCCGCGACAGCAGCGGCCATTGGCCGACGCTGGTGCACGGTCAACATGTGAGGCTGGTGACACGCGTCAGCCTTCATTATGCGTTGAAGTCGACGTGTGATGAAAATGAGCGGGCGAGCTTAGCAACAAGCAGTGTCAGCTAGCATATGCCGGCCATCCGCCTGGCCCATTCCGCGGAGGTAACGGATCTTGCGCGCAATTTGACCCAGATGTGGTTTGGGTATTCAGCGCCTGCGGGTTTCTAAGAGAAATTCAGCGATGCCGCTGAAATGCGTAGGAGATACAGTTGTATAATCTCAGGGCACCAGCAGTCGTTGTTCATTGATTGTTAAATATTTTAACCTCACACACCGAAGCCAAACCCGTAAGTTGTTAAGTGCATTTGCGAGGAACACTATGCACCTACGTAGGGCAGAAGCAACAGCTTTATTCTTTGGAGAAAAACCGGGAGAACGGGGATATAGATGCGTTAACATCTTGGCTTCAGCTATTCGTTTCGATAAAGCCAAACCCGTCAAATCTGGTAAACATCTCCTGCGCATTGATGAAGATGAACTTTCAAAAAAGCGCCGGTGGCTCGGTGGCACGTCGGTGGCTTTCTTTTCCGGAACGAGTCAGTCGGCTGGTACGTCATTGTACGGTGTTTCTCTTCGGGTACACGCATGCATGCACACCAGTGTCCACTTGCGCAGCTGGCTCCATATAAAACGGCATAACACATCCACTTGAGGAAGAGGCTTAAGGACTCTTCTCCGGTTGATATGAAGACGATGTTCTGTTGTCGTCCTGAAAGATCCTTTCTCGTCCGCTTGCGGCTTTGTTAAGCTTCCAAGTCGCCCATCTCCTGACCAGAGGCGAAATTTACAGAAAAAACGCTGAAAATTCCGACCGGATCTGCACGCAAGTTGTTTGCATGCAGCACCATAGGCTCGAACACAACTTTCTGCTGGGATGCAGCTGCGCCTCCACTGAATAGCAAAGTTCTGCCAATCACGAGATCAATGCTACCGAAGCATACACATTCCGTCTTCTCAGAAAGCACGTCGGCAGGGGAAAGACAACGAGCGCTTTACCCTCCCTAGCCCATACTTTAAACCCGATCAATCCGTGAGCATTTCCGAAATTCGGGAACAATAAGAGTAAGTTCGTGTTTTTTTTCTTCTCCGCAATGATTCTTCCTCAGTCCAAGTTTGTGTCCTTTTAGCAAAACATCCCTTGCGCCGTCATTACTAACGGACTCCGAGCTCACGACTCTACAGCTATCTGCCAGCCCTGTTGCTTGTCGTGTGTCTTGTCTGCAGTAAGACAATTTCTGGCCTTAGATGTCCACTTCCACCCCGTCCACTAACATGGCTTTTAACAAAGTTTTTTTGTTGTATACTTTGCAGCCCGAAGTAAATGCAACATTTCACATTCGAATACCATGGGAAATATGACATTGGTTTATGTGTGGAAAAGTTTCACGATGTGTGTCGATGCCGGGCTTTGATGTCAACGCCCGGCTATCGCAGTGACATCAGGCAAATGCCATTTGACGGAAAAGAGGACGAAAACCGTACCAGCAAAACCGTACTTTCGTCTGCGGCCGCTTTCATTTAGACTTCAGTTTTACTGCAGAATTGTTCATCTTTCTCATAAGAGTACAGTGACATTGTGTAATATCTTACGGTGGCTTAGCTGCACCGTCGCCAGGCTTGCCGTCGCCGTACCTTTTTTGTCACCCACTCAAGCGTGGCGGTGCTTTCGCTCCAGCAATGCGATGCAACATTGCCTTGTCCAGTCGTTGTCTCGTTGTCCGGGTGGCTGCGTATTGGCGTCATCGGCGTGCCGCGAGATGACGCTCTAGGTGCTGACTACGCTGACTACGCGGCGTCGGGTTCATGCCACCCGTGCATTTTCTGATGTGTGTATCATTCTGCACCTTATGCGTCTGGTCCTGTACAGCATCTACTTAGCTTTTTCTACGCTTAGGTGCACAAGTTTGCGTAATCAACGTGGACTCGCAGAAACCGTTTTCAATACCAAGCAAAATGTCCTGCTGCGTGTTGGGGAATGCGTGACGAGAAGAAGCCCAGGAATGCTGCAGTACCAACGAAGTTTACATGCGTGAACTCTGTACGGGATACACACTCACGGTACACTCAGTCCACATGTAAGTAAAAGCGTGCATGTAAATAATGGTCAAAATTCAGTTCATTCCAATCTCACGTATTTAAAACATGACGTTCAGCCCTTGTAAAAATATTAATTCGCATCACATCCGGCGCAGAAAAGCAACATATGTTCACGATCGATATCACCTCACACGTCAGCCACGGCTACTCTCTTCACGTTGACAGTAGCCCTGCATCGTGGTCAAAATGTGGAAAAGCCGATTTGCCAAAATAGTAGCGAATGTAGCCCAGCCGGGATTTACTTGCGTATTTGCCCTGTACAGAAAATAAATCATGTCCACCACTAAACAGCACCCAACCGTGGTACTTGGGTTAGTCATTAACAAGGTAAACAAAATGAGATGAACGGCATCTGTGTTGCAAATCATAAACATCTCGCAACAACCTAAAAGATACTCCGTAGTGCGAAAGTCCTGCTCCTACGGACAGACCTAGTCGCTAGACGTTGAGTCGTGCATAAATCGTTGGTTTTCCCCCAATTTGGGTTCAAAACTCTGCAGGTGAGCAGTGCACAAAGTACATGTGTACAAAGTACGTTAACATTGCTGGATTTCGTGTGGGAAGGCTTGACATATATATCGTGTAAATGGTACTGAGTTAAGTATGTTGAACACCTTTGTGTTTCACTTTTGGAATGTAACTTAAGTAAAGTAACCCGTACAGTCTAAATGTACTTTCATATGCCTCTGGGGCTGCAGGCATTGTACTCCAATATAAGGTTACACAGTGCTACATTTCTTCCCTCACCGCCGCCTTTCAAAGCAAACGGCGGTTGTCATGTTTGCGCCAAATGCATGTACTAACAAATACAGGTCCCCTAAAAAATCGACAGTTTGCATGTCCTTTCCATCATATGGCATAGCACGTACCGAACGAATCGCACCGTTGCGCAGGTCACCTCGAATCGACGAATAAAGCCAGGGTGAGTATTGTTCCCATCAACTGAAATGCTTAGGCCGAGTTCAGTCCATTCCAATACCGTCGTTTAAACGCAAAAGTGCCTAAGTGTTATGTTAACTAATGGTTCTCAGGCCGTTCTGCCTTTGGAAGGCAGAATACGCTGGAGCCGGTCAATTTTTTAACGTTTCTTGACGCCTCTTCATTCCTTCCGCGGCCCTCAGTTGTCAACGGCCGGGTCGCTTATGACTGTACTCATGTATCTGTGCAGGGCATATAGTTTAAACCATTGCGCCATTTCACAACACCTGTAAATTGTAATGTTTATGCCGCCAGCAACAGTGTCATCAGATGAGCGATGAGGCTGTGTCCCCCGAGGACAGTCCAGATGCATCTCGTCGAGGCAATGCACGCTTCT